TCACACATTTTATGACCAGTTCAAGTCGAAGTCATCATCATCATCCTGCTCGAAGCTCATCATCCGCCAAGACAGCAGCAGCAGCAGGACTCGAGCCGCTGGCTGTTTGCCGTGCTCCGTGATCTGTGGCCAGCGATAAGCTGTTTTTTTTTTGTTAAAGCGAGCGAATAAATTTCATAAATGCTCGCGCGTAAAAGGATTACGAGGCCAAGTGCCTGCCAGCCCCTACCTCAGCTCCTCCAACACCCTCTACCTCTCTCTGTGTGTGCGCAAATATTTGGACACATGTGCTGCAGCCCTGTGTAATTTATTGTTAAAAACTCAAGTAAATTTTATATGGCATCGCCGCCCCTTCGCAAGGGGGCAACTAGAGCAAGTGGAAAGGGTAGAGCTGTTGCTTGGGGGCTGCCAAACAGTTGATACCCTCATAACTCATTAAATGTCTCCCTAGGCCTAGCCATGTATAAGCTATATAATCTTAACCAAAGTAATCTAATTTTTTATTATTATTTATGGGCATAAGTAGGATATTGTGTAATATATTATTTAAATTTATCAATATTAAATGAAAATGATATACATTTATCAAGCAACTCTAATAATTATAATTTTATATGCAATTTAATTCAGTTAAAATTTGTAGATGCAGCAGCTTGATTCAGGAGATTTCGTTGATTTTTTATTAGAATACGAAAGAAAATGTAATCTACATATATTTAGCTGCTGTTAAAGTTAAAATTAATGTAAAACTCTGAAATAAATGAAAGTTTATTGAAATACCTAAGATAAAATGTATTCATATAGAGACTGCATAGATCTGTGGTTTGGATAATGATCTTAGAGTGCAGCTGTTCTACGGAATCGATATATTCACTATTGTGAAAAATAATAATGTTGATATTAAACATATTTTACAATGTCTAAAGATCTAAAAGATCACTCATAAGCTTTTTCTCTTTTTACTTTATGAGATAATAATTCCAAAAAAAATTGCTTGACTAAAAAGAAAAAAATTTTGAAAAGAGTTTAAGCTTGTTATTACCCTAGATCTCTATTTGGTAAGATTGTAGCCTTTTAAACTATTTTCTTATGTTTGATAATGTATCTTATATATTTAGGATAATATATCTTTTAAATGTTATATATCTTATATGCCCTTTTTTCAGTAAAACTATCTATTTTATATAGCATATTTGCCTTACTTCTATATACATCACGTATAGCTTGCACCTGTATCAAATGTCGCACATATGCCTTTCGATTGCTACGTACAAACACGGCTATATGAATCTGTCCGAAATGAAAAAATATTATTGATTTGCTTTAATAAAAAAGCTCTGGTACAAGTTTAGTGACAAACTCAATTAAACCCTTTCCAAGGCTCCCATTTTTTTGCGCTGTAATCCTTGATATCCCAACACACACAGAGCCACAGCGATGCACTTAATCATAAATACAAAATATGAGCAGGCGCCAGTTTCAATTCGAGCGAAAGTTGCCTTCAGTTCCGTTTCGTTCCACTCACAATTCAGCTCAGTTCAGTTCAGTTCAGTTACCAATGCGGCCACCGTGCGTATGCGTAATGCGAGCTGGAATGTTGTTGTTGGAGACGATGGACGCTTTTGATAAGCCAGGCGCGTAATGGATTTTTGTTTTAGCCATACTGTTGAGCGATTGTTAGGTTTCGTATACATATACATATATATATATATATACTTATTTATTTTGTTTTTTTTGTTTGGTGCAGTGGCTGCTGCGGTTGACTATTTTGTAGCCCGCAGCATGGGTTGCAATGCGTCCCGCATGCCAAACTTGCGCTGTTTTGCTGCCTTCAACTTGGTCGCGATAGTCAACAACAAACAACAAAAAAAAGCAACAAAACCCGAAAAAAAGCAAACAACAAAAAGTCGGCCGTCAAATGATTAATTACATGCCGAAAAGCTATCTAACAATTTGACTTGCTGTCTGTGTGTGTTTTGGATTGTCATTAAGCCAGGCCAAAAGGAAGACAACAACAACAACAGCTCAGGCGAATAATAAAAAATTATGCTTCAGATAAAATGCCATTAGAGTCTGGCGCTCCACTGTGAATGTGTGGGTAGGCAAAGGGGGAGTGCCAGGCAGGCAGGCAGCTCACTTAGCGCCATTAGAAGACAAGCAGCCAGCAGCAGCAGCAGCAGCAGCAACAGCAGCCAAGAGCAACCAACCAAAAAACGCTGCCAACAACAACAGCGGAGGCCAGGCCAGGCGCTGGGTTGCTGCAAGTATGCAATTCTGCCAGATAAGCCGAAGCATTCATGAATTTTATAGATAAAAACCACACACACACATGTACACACATACAGCACACACACATAGAGAGTGAGCAAGTGAGATAGCACAGCTTGTAGATGCGCTTACAGTACATTGCACAGCAGCAACAGCAGCAAATGAAGAGCGGCAAAAGTGAGCAGCAGCAGCATCATCAGCACCAACAACAACAACAACAATCATTGCAAGGTTGCCTCGTTGGGCGGCCACCTCCCTAGTTAGGGGCTGGGCAAGCCACCAGCAACAAACAAAAGCCACAGCTAAGCGCATGTAGGAATGTTACTGTGGGGCGTGCACGACTAACAGTTGAAACGAGCAAGCGCATCGAATAAATACTAAAATAAATACTGAATAAATAATTAATAAATAATAAATAATAAATAATAAATAATAAATAATAAATAATAAATAATAAATAATAAATAATAAATAATAAATAATAAATAATAAATAATAAATAATAAATAATAAATAATAAATAATAAATAATAAATAATAAATAATAAATAATAAATAATAAATAATAAATATAAATAATAAATAATAAATAATAAATAATAAATAATAAATAATAAATAATAAATAATAAATAATAAATAATAAATAATAAATAATAAATAATAAATAATAAATAATAAATAATAAATAATAAATAATAAATATAATATAAAAATAATATAAAAATAATATAATAATAATAAATAAAAAAAGTTTAACGATGATTTATTGAGCTTGCAGAGAATTGTTGCTGTGAATCATAAATTTTAGTTTTTAATCAGCTGTGACTACTCTTGCTTTCACTTCTGATATTACTACACTTCTAGGCTGTATGGATACTGACAATATCGAATGTTAAAAGGAGAATGTCAATGCCTGTTTTAATAAACAAACTAAATACGAACTATGATCATTAGCACTATCCATGCATTGAGCTGTCATTCAGAGTAACAACAGCTGCACAAATGCATAGATTGAATGCACTATAAAACTTTAGACGTAAGCACAATAAGACAGCTTTCGGATGTCAGTGTTGGTTAACGCATAGTGAATTAATTTCCATGCGAAAAACAGACTCAAACTATATTTAATCGTTTTCTTTGAATGTTGATTAGCCACGCTGCAGTTATTCTAAAAGCAAATTCAGATTTCTTGACATTTTGCAACACTAAACTAAGCAAACAGTTGTTAAGGCCCTTCAGGTGTTTTATGCAAAAGGCAAAAGCAGTTATCTGACATTGAACAGGCCAATGGGCAGCTGAGGTAGGGAGAGAGACACTGAGAGCGAGATAGGGCGAGCGACGAGGCTGAAAGCAATGTGACTCTGCGCTTTGCAACACTCTTTTTTTTTGTAAATCTCATTGTTGTTGTTGTTGTTGTTGTTGTTGCTGGTGCTGCTGCTGCTGGTTGGTCTGCTGCGCTGCCATGGAGTGTCAACAGCTAGATAAAGATTAGCGCAGACAAACGCCCACTTTTGGCGCGCTGTTACGCCCACTGGGCCACTCGTACTATCTGTCTGTATGTGTGTCTGCCTCTCTCTCGCTCTCTGTGTGTGTGGCTGCTGCAAATCTTTCACTGACGCAGCACAAAAAGGCCACGTGGTAGGGCCCAAGCGCGGAGGGAGTTAGGGCAGCACCAATGCCTGCCGGCTTGGGGATTATTAATGATGAATGCTTGAGAAGGCAGCGAAATGGCGTGGAATGTGGTGCCAGCTACCCGCAAGCCCGTCTATCCAAACACCCCAGCAAAGGTCGCAGGTTGACCAGCCACACTCACAACGTCGTTATCGTCGTCATCATCATCATTATGAGCAACAACATCATCAGTTGTCCATTGAATGTGAATTGGCTCGAGTTTCAGGTTTTAGGGTTAGGACTGAAGTAGGGCATGCGGCTGGGGTAGGGTTAGGGCTAGGGGTTAGAGTTTAGAGTTTAGGGCCAGGGGTAGGTGTGCGGTTTGCGTTGACATTGCTGATGATTATGAAGTGATATGAAATTGATGCCAATGATGATGCCAGTTAAGTCAAAACACGCACAACTTGACAGACACTTCAGAGCGCGGGGGCTGCCATCCATATCCTGTTACAAAATATATATACAGTTATATAGAAAGGGGTTGTCAACTGTCGCTGCCAGGGTGGCTGCTCGTCCGAAAGGGTTCGCACCAAGTTGAGGTGTCAAAAACGCAACCGCAGTCGCAGCTTAAGCGGGTGGCGCGGGTGGTGCGAGTGGATTGCGGCTTTTGGATTTAGCCGACCAATCAACGCTTTTGGCCTTGCACCACAGCTGATAACGAAGCAACGCAAAAAAACATGAAAAAACGAGGAAGAAGCCAAAGTAGAAGTGGCGAAGTATGAGAAATTGGTATTAAATTAGAAGGATGGCTCGCGCTGACACTGGATATGCGAGCAGATTAAATTTTTATTGGCAAAATATCAGCAGCGCAGCAGGCGACAACTGCGAGAGCCACTCGACACACACACCACACACACGCACACTCACAACAAGCAATTTATGTTTGGCATTAAGCGTTTTGGTGTCTGCCACTGGGAAATGCGCTGCTGACTGCAAACTGATAACAGTTTTTGGCCACTACCAAAGGGGTAATGGGTGGTGGCAGCTGGGTGGGTTGTTAGGTGGGGCTATGGCATGGCAGTTGGGCATAAAGTTGAGGCATATTCAAGCATCACTCACCTCTGCTGTCGACGGTCATCTCTTCTGTGGTATCGGAACAATCACCTGCAATGGCAAAAGAGTTGAAGCGTGTGAGTGAAATGGCACTTGAAATACACTGAGCGAAAATGGGGGGCTTAGGTGTAAGAAGAATTGAAAAATGTATGCAAATTTGAAAATTATTTAATTTAAAAAAAATTATATATAAATATAATATATAATAAAATCATGCAATGAGCAAAAATAATATGCAAATTTGAAAATTATTTAATTATATATATAATTATATATAAATATAATATTTAATAAAATCATGAAATGAGCAAAAATAATATGCAAATTTAAAAATTCTTCAATTAAAAATAAAAATATTATATATTAATAATAAATATAATATATAAACAAATCATGAAATGGTTAAAAATAATATTGTTTTGAACAAAGTTTTATTTTAAAAGATTTTCCTAAAAATACAAAATGTTTAATTATATTTTATAAAGAAGAATCTTATCAGAAATGAGGAGTTAGAATAGAAACATTTTTTATAAAATACTATTGAAGAGAAATCTGCTATTTCTTCCGACATAATGGGCTTAGATCAAAATGTTAACTGGTTAAAATTTGGTTTAATTTATGAGAATATGCGTACTGACGCGCCTCCTTCTGTCTGTTACATACATATTCACAAAACCAATATACCCAACCTAGAGTAAGGCCACAGCCAAATAGCCTCACAGAATTCATTGGAAAAACAATTCCAATATTATGTACAAAGCAACTATCAAGTTATTACCATATATTTTCGCTAAGTGCAACAGTTTTTAGCGGGAAATAAGCTAAATCTATGATAGCTGCAGCCGGAAGATAAAAAATCGAATGCAAACTTTTGTTTTTGCTTTTGTTTTTGTTTTTGTATACATGTTATTCATAATACACAATAATTGCTTCAAGTGAAAACAATGTTTGCTCAATTGTTGTTGTTGTTGTTGTTGGCCATATCGCCATCGTATCTGTTAAGTACGCACAACACAACGCGCGTTTCCAGTAGTTGGCATAGCCAGAGCCAACAGACGCAGACGCAAACGAAGACGAAGACGAAGACCATGTCCAAGTCCAAGTCCAAGCCAGAGCTACACTCGATGTTGTTGTTGTTGTTGTTGTAGTAGTGGTTGTTGTTGTTTTCTCGTTTTGATTATATTTTGCTGATACTCACTTCAAGGAATTATAATAACAATAATAACAACAATCCGCAGAATTCCTCGTCGTTTTTTATTTCTCCTTCATTCGCCAGATTGTAGATATCACACACACACACTCGCACACACACACGTGTGTATGTTTGTCCAGGAATGAATGTGTAGCCACACAGCGCAGATAGTCGACTGATAAGCAAAACCCAAAAGCTGCCTCAACTCAAGCTCTGGGGGGGATACTCTCGGCTTGAGTAGCTGCTGTCTGCGCTTGGAAACTTCAGCCGACAGCGAGAGAGAGAGGGAGAGAGAGGGGGATAGGAAGAGAGAGGAGGGAGAACAACAGATAGGGAGAGGTAGCTGCTTGTTGCACCCACGGATCAACCTTGTCTCACCTTTTGTTGCTGTTGAATGGCTGCTGATCATGGCGCTTCTATATATCCGTTAAAGAAGGGGGACGATTTGCAGGGGCAGAAGAATTACAGCCTAGTTGCAGCTCCAAATTGTGTTGCAGCTCTAAGTTTGTTTAGCACTTGCCACAATGTTGCACATGTTTTATTTGCTTTAGCTACACAGACACAGACACAGACACAGACACACACACGCACGTAATTTCCGCGGCACTCGCGCTTGTTGACGAAACAAAATGATTGACTGATTGAGCGTTTGATTGACGTGCACGGAGCTCGTTGCTGTTCGCTTCGCGTTCTACAGCTAACTGAGCGCAGCCCAAGCGGCTGACTAATGAAATTTTCTGTCTGCGCGCGGTGTTGCTCTCGCTCACGCTCTCTCTTGCTCGCTCTCTCTCTCTCTCACTCTCGTCTGTCTGTCTGTGTATCTGTGAGATACAAATGTGAGATACCGAGGCCAGCCGAATGACGACGACAACAACGACGGCGACGACGCCGCGTCGCAGTCGCCGCGCACAGCTGATGTTTGTTGATGACTGCGCGTTGTTCCCGATACCTCTCCTCTGGCGCCCTCTCTCTCGCTCTCACCGTCCGTCTCCGTCTCCGTCTCCCACTCTTCCTCACTGGCAAAGTTGTTTATCTTTCATTTGCTAGTCTGCCAGTTGCGTCTATCTGCAGCCCTATCTGCCCGCCTGTCCGCCTGCCTAGCAGTCCTATTCGAAGTCGCAGTCGCAGTCGCACTCGTCTCTTGGATTCGTATCTGTATCCGACACACACACACATATACACATTTGCTTGCTTGCTGGCTGACTGAAATAAGATATCTGCTCGCTGCTCTCGCTGCTTCCTTCGCCCAGCCGCAACGAACGTCGTTCGAAATTATTCGAAACAAAAACTGATAAAGCACTGATAAGAGCGCAGCGCGGCGCGCAGTTAGATAACATCGAGCAAGCAAGCGAACCAGCCAGCCAGCCAACCAACCAACCAGTTGGAGAAGCCAGCCGGCACAGGCAACTAGCCCAGCCAGCCCAAGGCAGCCAACCAGCAGCAAAACGGATACACACACACACAAGCACACGCATACAGTTGCAATTTCTGTGCACTTACAGATACAGATACAAAGATACATTCAACAAAGCCAAACGCTGCTGTGTGTGTGTGCTGGTAGATGCTTTTGTGCGATATCGCGTCGCACGGCTAATGGAATTCTGATTATTGCTTAGTGATAAGCGTTTTGTGTTTAATTGTATCTGTGTATCTGTATCTGTTCTCTTTTTTTTTATTTTTGTTTTTTCTTTTTTTGTTGTGAGCTCATATACACTGCGAGAAACGCATGTCTAGCTTTGTATGCGGCTGCTGTTATCAACCCTTTCATTTCTGCAGCGTTAATTTCCTGTCACCCAGCACCTGCCCCCGCTTCTGAGTGGACTCCATACACCACGCTCCTTCGGCTCCAAACGGGGCTTCATTTGCCTGGGGGTCGCTATTCAGTTTTCATTGTGTTTATCAGCAAGCGTTGATCTATTTTAATGTTGATTTGGCTTCCAGCCATACTTCCCTTTCTCCCTCTCTCTCTCTGTCTCTTTGCCTTTCTGGCTTGTATCTCTGGCTCTTATCTGCATTTTGGTTTATTTCATTTGCCTGACTGCTTTTGCAGATGCAAAACATTTGCCAGATGCTTATCAATTGCTCTCACATTCTCTCGCCGCTCTCTGGCCGCTCTCACTCAGCTGTTATCGCTCGATGTTGCGCCTGCGTTGTAGCCAAGCGTTAAAGCCAAACACATCACCTTCCACCCTTCTAGGCAGCTCCTCTAGCCGTACCTTGGCTGCTGTTGTTGCCTTTAATGACGATTATCTCGTTTGCCATTGTTGACTTTTAATTAGATTCATTAAACGTGCCGCTTGCCGACGCCACCGCCGCCCAGCCTTGCCGCCTTTGTACCCTTTTGGCCATGGCAACTGGCAGACACGTAAGCTCACTTATACTCTTAGACATAGAGTACATAAAACTAAGGACAGCGCCAATATATGTCATACAAGTATTTCGAACTGACACTCAAAAAATAATATATATTTTTAATAATCATAAAAATATTCAAAAATTGAAGTTAACTTTTTTATAACCGAAATTTCTGCAAGAAATAGAGTTCATAATTTCAGCATATTAACTAGAGACTATGCTACTAGTTTCGTAAGGGTATCTCAGCTTCGACTTGTCATAGCATTTTCATGTTTTTCTTATAGTTTGGAATACATTTTCACATTTTGGTGGGTGTTTTTCGAGTTTGGGCTGCGATAAACACTTCATGCGTGAATATCTGCAAAAGGTTTTTTCTTTTTGATAAATGCGCTTAACGTTGTAATTGTTGTTGTTGCTAGTTATTATTGTTGGTGTTGTTTCTAGGGTGATGAACTATCAACAAGCCGAGTCGCTTTGGCTGCGGCTGTGGCTGTGGCTGTGGCTGCGTGGCTGCAGTTGCGTTCAGCTCTGAGCAATTGTTTTGCAATTATGTTTATGTTAAGTACAGCTGTCTATGTGTCTCATTGTGTGTGTGTGGGCATGGTGTGTGTAGCTATGTGTGTCATTGTTATTACGTGCTCATTTATTGGCATAAATATGTATGTATTTGCAGCTAAATAAAGTCAGATCAACGTTGGCTGATAAATGTAGGCAAAGCCACGAAAACGGTTTACAAAAATAAGTATGAATGGCAGAATGGAAAGAGTGCTGTGACTTAAACATACCCTGTAAACCAAGAAAAGGTGAATTTTGAAAGAACGATTTCTTAAAATTGTTTCCTTAATTATTTTGAACGATATGCTTAGGTAACTTAATCATATCAATTGTGATTAATCGATATTTATCGATTATTGGTGAGTAATTTGCATATGATAAAGTAGTCAAATAATAGATGTTGGTTCTTAAGCTTGCACACTATAAAATTCGATATTATATGTCAGACTTGTTATTGATTATCGATATATATCGATAATTCGAATTCTCTCAGCATGAACTGCGATCGCTTTAAGAGAAAGAGTCAAGACAAATTCAATTGATCGTAGTTACATTCATTATAATATACCCCTTGATTTCCAATACGTACAGCGTATACACACTTACAGTCATTTGCGCAATTTTACGCTTAATACCCCTCTTTTATTCCTTTTTCTAGAGACTACACAAATATGCTGCAAATAATAAACCAAATCAAGTTGTTGCAGCAATTGCAAATGACGCAGCAGACGCAAACACACACACACACACACACCTAGGCACACCCGCTCACACACACTCACACATACAAAAACGACCCGGCTCGACCTCGATATACGCGGCATGGAGCACAGCACAGAGCAGAGTTTAGCTCAGCTCGAAGCGAAGTCGACGCAGATGCAACCGACTGATTAGATCCTGGCGCTGATAAGACGCCGCAGTTTGGGGGTTATTTCATCAGTTGTTGTTG